TATATATATATATAGATGAATGATGATATTTTTATACTACTTGGCATTAATGACTCGATTTAAGTGAAAGTTACAGTCTTTTAATTTAACACGACAATGTTACATTAAGCAAATTTTGAACACATTGTTTCATTAGAAATGAATCACCAGACAATGGGAGAAAGATGAAATTGCAATAATTTAACAATTTTATACGCTTGATGGTGCGTTTAGACTTCGTGTAGTTTGTTATACTAAACTGCTAATGTAATAAATATAAATTTGGTTCTTAAGTTGTTATTTTTGCTTTTTAAATTGTTTACGGATTGTGTGATGTGCATAAGTTTACTTTTGACTCTAATTTTCCTTACATCCGCAAATCCAATTTTTCTAATGTGTCGATATACAAGCAGTTGACGTACACAACCAATACAAAAAATCTTTACACTTAACGTGAAGCAGTGGATGCAGACGTCTGACACTTCTAGGAAATTCTACTTTAACTTTTTCAAGAGAAAAACTGACGTTTTAAGCAAATATAGTAGTTCCGGAAACAGGGAACATTACTCATACGCATGACATTCCAAGACTAGAACTATCGACGACTAAAATATAAAACTTGCAAGAAAAAGATTTGACAGATATGTCAGAAAACAGACTTATATTTATCTGTGCACAGTATTTTACGAAAGATCATTTTGATAATCAAAACTACACTTTAGTTAGCCTATAAAATTTCTAGAAATCATTATTTTTTTTTATTTTAATAAAAATTTATTATTTTGTCTATTCTGTTATGGAGCGTTTAGATCGAACAAACGAATACTTGTGCGTTCTCCAATTCGACAAAATTTATGTCAACGAGTATTTATCTATATTCATTGAATGCTTGAAAAATGCTTTCTTGAAACATTACTATTTGCATGTCATTAAATGAACATGAATTTTGTCAAAAAGTCTCAGAGAAAAACTAACCACTAGATCATTATTTCCATCTTAATATTAATTTCAAATGAGTATTTTTTTCGTAAAAATAATAGTTTTTTTTTAATTAATAAAAATTTATGTATACATACAATGTATTTGTTGTTGAAAAATTTGGAAATTTGTATAGAATTCCAAAAACGTGGAAAATAATTTGCATCTTCTAAATGTTTAATGCTTTATATCCTAATCGTTCATAAAAATCAAAACCTTTTTGCATAGACGCTTTCATCAGTTCAATTATAATAATATTGAAAGAGACATACACAATGTACATTTGTGAATCGCTTAAAAATGGATGTTTGTACGTTCTTATTCTGTGTAGCAGTCTTTCAATTAGTTGCAAACTCTCGATACTTATAACCAGACTGCAGATTTTCATGTATTTATGGGAAATTTGCAAAGAATGCGTACAACATGGAGAAAAAGATATGAAAATATATTTAAAGTGTAGTGCTTGTTATAACATTTTATACGTAAAACAATTTTCTGCCTATTTTTTTAATTATATTTACAAAAGCATGATCCATAGTCTATTTATGATTATCAACTTAAATTCTTTCTCTTTCCCTTCTATTCGCAACATACCTAAAATTATCTACTGACACAGAAATTTAATAAAAGAAAGTCATAGGAACCTTAATTTCAGACATAAACGATATAAAATTTACCTATCTTCCTTTCCCTTATGTTCATAACACATCAAAAGTTACAAATACATGGAAAAAAACCTCTCATGTGTCAATATCTTTTTGATTCTCGAATTTTTATACATGGTGTCCCGTAATCAAACAAGAGGTAATTCTACGTGAAAAGGAACAAGTCGAAAAGAAAGAATGATTTCTTTCATTAAAGCGTTTATTTTCGAGAAACTGAAGTTTGAAAATTTCATCAAGTATACTCGAGTTAAATTTAATTAATTCCGTGCTACATGATCGATACGAGGATATTCTATGCGCAAGAATAAGTGGAAGGAATAATTTCATCATCAAGGCCTCAAGAAAACGGGCTTTGAATATGTTTGAAACATGTTAAAAATTACCTTGACACACGTGTGCTCGACAAATCTTTAAATTTCTCGGTTTTCTCGAAAACGAAGCGTCTTACAAAGAGATTTTCGTATGTAAAGTAACCCCTTATTAATTATTCTCTTCTTATCAGTTAAATTCAAGTGTTTATCTTCTTTGTCGCATAACTCGTTATTGAAAAATGCTACTGTACGCAGTAAACTGTTCGTGAAAATCGAACGATGGCTTTCGTTTCGACGAGAGCGTTGCAAGAGAACTGGGCGCGCTAAATGCTTCCCTGATCCACTGTGCGTACGTGGAAACGAGGCGTCGCGAACGCAGCTCGGTTTTACGAGCGGCCGACTTTATAACACACAACCAGGTGACTAAAAATCGACAATCTATCCGACTCCGTCGGCACGGTCTCTCGACGTTCTACGGCCGCGTGATAAGTCTTGCATCCGTGGCCGGGTCTGTAGATTTTCTCCCTCGCCGCCCCCTCACCCCTCTCTTCTTTCTCCCCCCGTGACACACGGCGGCGAGTTCCTGTGAAAATTTCGGCGTCGTTCAAAAGCTCAAGTCAAACATGGGCGTGTTTCACGAGGTGTCTCGGTAAATCCGGTAAAGCGGCGAAGGCAAATCCCTCTTCTTCTTCTTCTTCTTCTTCTTCTTCTGTCAGCGGCGCGCGCTCGCGACCAGCTGAAATGCACGACAATATATACACTACCGGTCCGCCACGTCGCACAACGTGTGTTTTATGGTTCGCGGCGGAAATTGAACGTTCCTCCGCTCCCCGGAAACACCGTGGACAAGCTTCGAACCGGTGGTTCGCGAGAGATTACGTGGCGTGTAGCGATCGTTCCACGTCGTTCGTCCTTGTTCTTAACCCTTTCGTGACGAAGCTGTTAGGCAGTTTTACGTTTTAAGGGTTGAAATTAGGCTGCAGGGTACTGATTTTGAGAAGCGAAATGATCTGAAAACAGTCACGAGTGGGAAAGATCTTGTGATATTTTACGGAATTGATATTATTGCACAGGTATACATATTACTGTGTATAATGTTTGATGGATTATTGGCGTAATAATATTTTCAATCCTTTGTTCCTTTTCCTTTTTTTTTCTCTCTCTTTTTCTGCAAATTGAAACTTAAACATTTATCAATGAGGAGTACTTGATACTTCATGAAATTTAGTAGGAACTTTTACTTTTACGATAAACAACAGTGTTTTAAAATCCCAACATAAAGTACACTTAAAGTCATTTATTGTTAGATGTCTTTGCAGGATTTTTAATCCACTGTTCTATTTCTATTATTTATACTAATCAATACTAATCAATATTAGTTATTAATATCTTGATAGATATTAACTATCTAAGACACTTAGATAGTTAATATTAGATATTAGCTTAGATATTAACTATATTAAGACACTTATTAATATCTTGATAGATGATCTGATCTTTCGATCTCACGATTGAACTATTGATTAAATTAAATAAAGTATATTTCCATTAGATAATACTGTACACAGTTGTCCTAAGATAAGATCAAAGATCAAAATAAAGATTAAAAAGTCTCATTTGAAGTATATTTTATATGTTCGAATGTAGATATTATAGTAGTTATATATCGATTATAATAAACACATGTGCTACTGTGTACACAAGAACTCTACTTATATAAATTACAAATAAGTTTAGGTTAAGGGAAACAAATAAGTTTAGGTTCAATTACTTATTAAGTAATTATTAGGTAATTAGGTAAGTTCAATTACTTATTAAATAATTGAAGTTCGTAGAGATTTACTGATTTTCTCCTTCGTAGTAGTGATTTTTTATTTATATAATAGAATGACTCGTTAATAGAATTCATTTATTTAAACCTAAACTTTTATTAGACACAGGATATTCCAGTTCATTTAGTCGAATGGGCATTGATCGAAATTTTCAAATAAATGTACTGTTATTATGCTATTATATTATAATATATAAGATATTATATTATATTATATTATATATTATATTATTATTATTATTATATTATATTATATTATATTATTATTATTATATTATATATTATATTATTATATTATTATAGATATATTACAGTCCAATTATAATAAAACTCTATCCATATAAACTTGTTGTGAGACAAATAATTTATGCAATTATACAATTATAAAAATAATTTATATTACAAAGATAATAGATTTGCCCGGTTCACTGATTAGTAATTTTTCCTCACTATTAGTGATTTCTCGTTCATATAATGCGAGTTCAAATAAATGGATTCAACAAGCAGAAATTCATTAAATATTGATTGAAATTTGGTTCAAACAAATGGAGTCCATTTACGGATTTTTATTGTATTTTATTAATCGTCTTCTACAATTCTATTGTGATAGAATTAATATACTGTTTATTAATTAATTGGAAAACGTAATTGGAAAGTCTATTAATCTTGAATTCAGATCCCCGAAAATCTTGAAAAATCGCTGTCTCAACGAAACCTTCGATTTAAGGGATATGAAATTATTCACAAATGTTCTGGAATTAATTAACAGAACGGATATATTAACGAATTTACCAAGATCAACAAATTAATATATAATGTAATAATGAAAATAATAAATAATGTAATAAAATAATAAAAATAATAAAAATAATAAAAAT